AAAAATAATTAACTTTTCTTTCTTTCATTTTTTCTTTACTGTTAACAAAAATTTCATCTGTCATTCAAATTCTTATGTCGCTTCATCGGACACCATCTCCTACTACTGAAATTGCATTTGGAAGCGATCTCGGTCATTCACTAGCAGGTTATTTGTCAGAAGTTAATAATAGCACAAACTCTGCTCAATATCCTTTCGGAATCTCTTTTACAACTAGTATGCCAAGCGCTAGTACAAGGTATAAAAATGATATTTAATATATAGACAATAGATACTAACCCTTTCTATTTTAATAGCAAAACTGATTTGTCTTATTACGAAAAAAGAACAGCTCATAATGCCCTTGAACGTCAAAGACGTGAAGGTCTTAATGTTAAATTTCAAGAACTTGCCCATGTTCTACCTGGACTTCAACAAGTAAGACGTCCTAGTAAGAGTATGATTGTTAGCAAATCACTTGAATTTGGTAAGTGAAAAAAAATTCTTCTACATGTAAAAAAAATTAATCTAATAAGAATAAAAAATATTATATAGTATCCTCTGCTTCCAAGAGAGAAACCGACTTCAAAGGCCAATTAAGTACTCTCAAAAAGGAAAATGAACAGTTACTTCGCCAAGCTGATCGTATCAAAAGAAGCATGAAGAAACGTAAACAAAGGGTAGCCAATGCATCAGGAGCCAAGATGCATCAAAAGAAAAAGTCAGCCATTGAGAGATCACCTTCTTTAGACAGCCTCAAATCAGACGAAGATGATGAAGATGATGAAGATGATGAAGATGATGATGGTGATGATGATGATGAAGAAGAAACCAAATCAACTGAAGAGACAAAATCTGTAGACACCAATACCAGCAATGTTTCAATTGAAAAGAAATCACCCACTGCTTTTCTTCCGACACCAAAGTTAGTCATTCGACCTAGACGTACATCAAGCAACCTGAAGGCGCAGGTGCGAGGCATAACTTTGCCCACTAATACAAAAGCACTTATTGATCGTATCAGTTATTCTCCTCCCGTTGGTGCTAGCCCAAATAAGAGAAATAGAGAAGGAAGTGACTCTCCAGCCGATCCTAGTACTACTCTTAATGATGATCCTTTTTTCCCTACCACCTCTTATTCATCTCCTCCTTCTTTTCCTCCCTCATCTTCATCATCATCAGCTGTACACAGCTTGAAAAGACGAAGAAGGTCATTGAGCTCCAATAATGTTTCTTCATCTAGCTCATTTGTGTCACCCCCCACTTTGACTGTTTACCAAGGACCGATTCGACCAGATCAGTTTATGGTAAACCCCGTGGTAAATATTCTACCGCTCTCTTCGTCATCTAATAGAAGACCAGAAACATCCATTTCAAGTAGCAGTCCACAATCGTCTAGCTCTGACTTCCAGTTTGATATTGCTAGTCTTGGCACTGAACAAACCTTTTACAGCTATGATAATCAGCACCACTCAAATAGCACCATCTCAGCTATCCCAGCAGTTCGGATGCCTATTGTAAATAATGATATGTCATCTAGTAACTATGTCCCCAATGATTTTCTTGCATCCGCTATATTAGAAGACTCAGATGATCGTAAGTCCTCTTGATGGCTCAATTGAATAATACATATATTTATTAACTTGGAATTATAGATCTTTTCTCGTGGGACAACTAAATATATAAGAAAACCAACCAAACCCTATGTCTTTGATACCTTTTTTTTCTTTTCTACGAATAGAATACTCCAATACCAGAAATGATCAGCGTTAAGCACATTTTTTTTTACGATATTTATTTATTCCCTTTGTGTTCTCCTTTTTTTTTTTCTCACTTCGTGCTTGCGCGAAATCAAAAAAAAGGGTCATGACTCGTAAATATGCACAAAAAAAAATCCCACAAAAACGTTGATTATTTTCCCCCTTTTTTTTTTCTTTATTATATTTGACAACTGTATTTCTTTGTAAATATTTTTCTTTTTTAAGCTTTTTTCCCAATCCAATTCTATTATGCTGGTGCTTTTTTTTTTCTTTCAACTTTTTTATATATTTTGCAGCTTATTAGTCTTGATTTTTTACAATAAAACAAAAGATATGTTATGTTCCATAATTTAATTGAATATTAATTTTTTTTACCATGCGGGCTAAAAAAAGTAATTCTCTCTTTTATTCCCCCCCCCAAGTTTGTGCGTTTTCCTTTTTTGTTTATTTCCTTTTTTACAGTCTTCTTTTTTTAAAAAAAAGGGTTTAAAAAAGTTCGGTCTACAACAATAAGAGCCTATAGATTTACCAAAAGTAGTCGCGGTTATATTAAGTGCTTCCACCGTGGTTAAGAAAAGGAAATTATTCTTTTTTTTTTAAAACGAAATATGCATTCTTGGCTCCATCATTTGATATTGATAAATGAGCATCATTTAAATATAAATTAATGCTCACATTGCATATTTAAAAAATATTTCTATTTCTGTTCAGGTTAAAAAGTTTCTTGATAACAAAAAAAAGAAGCAAAAAAAAAAAAATAGCGTGGCTCATTGAGGCGCTTTTTTCCCTCTCTTTCATAATTGAGCTAACTTTGGATAGCACATAATATTCCAAATTCAATCATTAAAAATTAGAAGGGTATTGCATATTTTATATTATACGATGTGTCATTTGAATTTAAATTTTAGTTTTCGTGGTGAGATATAACAAGTAAGTATCGATATTCGATATTGCATTTTTGAGATAGGAAAGTTTTTAGTTTTAGTCTCATGTATTAAATACAATTCATAAAGCATTATTCTTCATAGAAGTAGTAGGTATTTAAATTTATATTAAAACATCTAGAACGTTTCTGATGTCAGATTAAGATAAGGGGAATCCGTTACTTTTCCTCTTGCAAGCAAACCAGTGATAAAATCAATTTAAAATATTTTATAAAAGCGTAAACTTAGGCTTACACGAATAGCCTTTTCTGTTCACATGAAACTTACGGCTCCAAACATTGAATGTGTAAAGTTAAACTCTATTATTAAAGGTCTTTTAAATAACCGAATTGGGTATATCTTGCTTTCAGAAGAACATTGTATTCCCTATTATATTATTGACTTTTTGTTTTGTTGTTTTTTGCGTTGGTGTTACAACCCTTAACATATAATGCAAAAGCACGTTCATTGATGACGAGTGACATTGACAGTTTCCGACTCTGGACCTTTTCTTTTTATTTTTTTATTGTTCTCTTTACACTTTTTAAAAAAGTCATTTTTCTTGTATCAATATGCTTTGATTGACTGTAGGGCTTATATTTTGTACTTCCTATTATGGTTATTTCAATCGCCGCCTCCACGATACTTTAAAATCCTGGGGAGAAAGGAACAAGTTTAAAATTGCACATTAAAAATAAATTAACTAAAATCCCATGGTTCTACTTATTCTGAAAACAAAAACAATGGAAATAAGCGAATTAACATTGGATTCTATCTCTCTCTGTATGCCTGTCTCTTTTTTTGTAGCCATTTTTATATAGATTTTTGTGCTTTTTAAAGAAACCGGGCTGCATGGTTGATGCCAAAAATAGCATTTGCCTCCTTGTGACATTTTAATGAGAAATCGACACGTCGCATTTTATTTTATTTTTTATTTCGAGATCAGCTCAATAGATCTCTTTCTTACTAAGCTCATTTCGATCAGTACAAAACAGATGCGTTCTTCAGCTTTATTTCTATTGATTGGTAATCTAGTTGGGATTACTTTACAACTGAAAGGACCGGTTTTGCAAGAGGACCCTGCACCAGTCAGATTCGTGGAGCAAGTCCTATCATCGAATAATCCAAAAGATTATTG